AACACGTGAGTCAAACTGACAGCCCTGTCATGTCCTGTCATCTTTTTCTTAATATCCGATCAGATCTGGTCCGAACTACGCACCTCGTTTGTTCAAAGTCTGTTCCACTCGTTTTTATGCTGAGAAACAGTAGATCAAAGCCCTTAGGATTTGATCGGCCGCGTGATGTGCGAAGACCAGTTCCCCCTTCGTCTCGGCCATGCATTGCTGCAAATCTCCACCACTACAAAGCTCGGTGACGATATAGATGTCCTACCCAGGTTCAGAACAATCGATTCATTCCGTCCATCAACGAGAGGATCCCATTCCGTCAATCTCAGCGCTCAGACAGCTTGAGGGGGGTGTCGTGTCTTAAGCTGTCGTCTATTGATCCATGTCTCATCGACCTATTGGTATTGGGGTCACCGTCGATCCTTTCTCACGGTCGACCGGATGTCCGTCACCGGATCGCCACGAGACCGGTCGCGCCACCGGATCCGATGTCGATCGAGACGCGGTGGGAGACGACCGCGCGGTGGACCCGGGTGCCGTGGACGGTCACGGTCCTTGAAATCCTCATAGGCTTCGAAGAAATGCAAGATCCGAGGATGCTGCAATCGACTGAGGACGCTAATTTCCATTCGAAGTTGCTCCAAGTGTTCACATTTCTCCTTGGAGACTTGCCTTGGTTGTACGTAGCATTCGGAGGCATTCGGGTGTTTGTTTAATCCGAAACAACCATCAACAACCCACGCCCTGCCAGCCTGACTAGATTCCATTCACAAACCAGTACTAGGGGCTCCTGGCTAGGAGCAAGGACGCTACTAGGGGCTCCTGGCCGTACTAGGAACAAGAAGCTACTCCGAGCCAACGGTCGTTCCTAAGTTCGCGATGCGCAGGGGTGCACCATCGGCTGATCTTGGCAGCAGCTAAAGGGTCACTCCCCAGTGGGCAAATGGAAGAGTTGTAGTCATTTGTAGTATTGAGCCCTTCTTGGACTGGCTGAAGGAACCTGGAAAAAGGTGTTGAAACATCTTCACCAAAAGGGCCGAGGATTGACCTTAAGCAATCACCTATCAAGCAAAACCAGCCCTTCCAACACTGCCTCCCGCGCGTTGGTTTGGAGCGGGTTTTCCCCTTGTCCGGGCCACTTGATGGCCACCAGCTTCTTGCTGTGGAAGCCTCGGGCCGTGCCGTTGAAATTCCCGAGAACGAGTCCGCTGGGTGCAGGTGAGTTGGACCTCATTTGACGAGTCGATCATAGAAAAACACCATACGAAAATGCTCAGCTTTCAGGTCTTACTGGGTCAGACTGGACCTGTAGGGATGAGTGCGGTGGATGGTTTCCTCTGGCATTCCAGCTGTAGGATGGTGTGTGTATAGGAGGTTTATTTGCCCAGCTTCATCGAGTCTTGTTGAAGGTTGCTGAAGCGCTTCTGTATGCCTGTTTGATTTACAACAATATCACACAACGATGACATGAAACCTGAAGGCGACACATCATAGTCTCCTGACATGCATCAACAGAAGAGCTGACGACGACGACGACGACAACAAAAACCCAACACATTTCTGGAAGATCGTGGAAGCCACCATGAAAGCCCGACATCTGTCCTCGACAAGGACCCTTTTTGTTATTCTCCGCAGCAAAAAGAGGTTCCTTTCTCCCATGTTCTTCCAAAGTCCATCTTTTCTTCAGCAGTTGTTCAGCAAAAAAACAGAAAACAGAAAGAACACAACCAAAGTCAAAGTCCAAGTCCAACGTCTTTCTACAGTCCCTAACCGCCCTAACAGGCCCAGGTGGTTCTTTCTACAACCCAACCGCTCCCCTTCCGAAGCGGCACGGTGCTTCACGGCGAAGACCTCTCCGAAGGATCCGCTGCCCAGGACCTTCCGCTGCTCCCAGGAGTAGACGCTCCGCACGTCCGCGTCCTTCCGGCAGGCCTCGGGTGTCGGAGGGTGTACGTTAGGAAGGGGCGCCGGAGGTGGGAGGAAAACAAAGGGGTTTTTGAAGTGTCTTTGTTGGAGGTGGAAGAAGAGAATTGAAGTGTTGAATGGCTGTTGGATGTTGTTGGATTGTTGGATGCTGTGTTGGTTTTACGATGCTCTACTCAAACGTACTGAAAGGCTACAAGACCTGAGTCTAGCTCTTAAAGACCCTCAAGCACCTTGGTTGTCTAAAGAGCTCTGGTGGGCTCCCCATGTAAAGAACATGGGAAGCAGTGGAGATCATGGTGCCCAAGCCACGAACATGGACGTGGGAAAACCTCCTGTTCGTAGAACAAAATGGTCCTCCCGGCCTATTTTCCACTCCCCAACACCTGGTATATCCTGGTATTTTCATGATCTTCTATGGCCTTGTAACAACCTGTAACCCTACAGCCCCTCCACAATTTGGATCAACGTGAGAAAACTGGCGATTCGCGATGCGAAGCGCCTCCCCTCCCTCTCTCGGCCTGGAAGGCTTTGCGGTTCACCCCCTTCGCCTTGGGCGCTGGGGCCGCGTTGGGCGCTGCCCCGGGCGCGGCGTCGCTGGGCTTCGCGTCGCTGGTGGCGGCGTTCTCCAAGGGTTGGAGCTTCACCCGGCGAGGCAGCGGCTCCCGAAGGGCCTCGCACTATTTTCAAGCAGTTCCGGTGAGTAAGATCTGCTCATCGACAAGGGATCGACGTCCCATACTTCCGAAGTGAGCACTCCGCGCTTTGACTGGCCATGTGCCCAAAAAGCATGAACATCGATATGATTCAATATGATTCATATAACCGCCTGGACACTGAAGGCAGGAAAGTAGCTTGAAGGATGATGCCACCTGAATGTGTTTGACTCACTGAACTCACTTACCCACTCACTGCACTCACCCCACTCAACCAGCGAGCTCGGACAGCGAGCTCGGAGCCTTTGCCCTCGCAGCCTTCGCATCATCTGACGGCTCTTGTGGCCTCCAAAAGCACGTGCCGCGCGGAATAAGCCCGCCACGTGTTCGAAAGCACATGGAAGTTCCGGGTGAAGAAACCTGTAATACTTCAACTACTAGCTTCTTGTTACTACTAGTAAGGCACTTGTTACTACTAGCGTGGCACTTGTTCCTAATAGCTTCTTGTTACTACTAGTAAGGCACTTGTTACTACTAGCGATGCACCTGTTACTATAGCTTCGAGAATATCACTGACTGATTGTGCCGCCGTGCTCAGAGCATGAGCATCCGCAGCGGCGACGCGGGCAGGTTCGAGATAAATAAGGGGGCCCTCTATAGTATTTTGAGGTTAAAGGAACCTGGACTGAGGATGACTTACTAGTTTTTTGAGGGGCGTTTGAGTACCGAACTTATGGAAAAATAAAGTGTCTTTCGTTGCAGGTCCTTGATGCATGGTTTCATGGTTTTGGCGAATCAACCTCAATGATCACCGTCCACGATCCCTCAACGATTGCATCCATATTCCGTCGGCTGGACGGGTGATGTCTGCTGAAACCAAGCCACCCTTGAATCAGCGTCGGATACCTGGCGAGGGCGTAACTCAGCATGTTTGCCCGGGCGAAAATGCGAAGTTGAAAGAGCTACATCTACTTAAGGTGATCATCTAAGATGGCCTAGGGTCCCTGTTGCGTCAAGGACATGCTAGCAAGCCTGTTGGCTTATGTTTTTCAACTACAGCGCCTGCATAGTCCCTGTGACCGGAGTTGTGACCGGCTTGCAAGATCCTTATACTTGGAAAGGGACGCCCAAAGGATCCTAAACTCTATACACCTCGAAATACAATCACAATGAAATATGTTGCTGGGACCCTCTTGGTTCTTGGACCCACCAGCTATCGTTTTTGGGGAGCCACTCTTGGAGCACATGGCTGGGTCGACTCATGGTGCACATCATTCATCCTCCGCTTTCTCAACTCATCTGGGTGTGTGAACCTTCCCCGCTCCCCCATAGCACATGGCCGGCGCCCACATCTCCCGTGCTCGGACCCACCATGACGACAGGGCACCCTCTGACGTCAAATAGTTTCTGGACGGGGTCAGGATCATTTTCGGGCGGTTGGGACCAGCTCCTTTCTTTATGACAAACTCGAACGGGTCTCTTCATTGATCGGTTCACCTAGCCCAATTGCAATCTGTTGTCCCTGTGAAGCTGTACTCCCTTCCAACTCCAAAACCTGACTCACAACTGCCCCTTTTTACCCTCCGATCTGTTCCCAGCCATTCCGCCATCCCAGCCCTTACGCCATCACTTGAAGCTCCAGGTACTTCGGGTCCCCCGACTTGGATGGTGCCAGCTCCGGCAGCCGCGGCGTCGCCAAGCCCGTCACGCCGATCGTGCCGGTCGTGGACGGGCGGGCGCCGCGGGCGCGCATCGCCGTGGCATCGTCGTCGCGTGCGACGCGACTGCGGCAGTGAGCGACCAGCGTGCGAAGCGCGGAGGGCGAGGTTTCTCGGTGTTGGACGTGCGAAGATCAGATCTTACAAGAGAAAGATATCCAGACCTCCAGACCTCCAGGCCTGAAAGTAAGGGACGATATTAGAGTCCGTACCTCCAAAGAGAAAGGGTTCTTCTGAAATGCTGGTCAATTATGGACCTATTGTTGATCATGCAGTCAGATTAGTCAGTTCAAGGTTAAAGGGGCACCTTACCTATTGTCTGGACATTGTGCAAGGCCTACCTTGATCTGATGGATCCATGCAAGGCCCATCCATGAAGTTTTCCCCATAGACTAGATGGAGCAAAATGGGCTGCGGAGTCTCTTGTCTTTGGGAAGTAACCATGTTCGACGAAAAATCAAACGCTTTGCTACAGCTGCTACAACATGTGGGTGTGTCTTTTAGTGCGACGCCGTCTTTCGGAGGTCTCCCTATTTCAAACACACATAGTTAGCTATCCTATACATTCCACTGATCCAACCGCGTGGTTGTCATTCACCGTCCCAAGCCTCCAAAACACACAGTCGGAGCTCTTCCAGGTATGGAGCACGGCCTCACCTTTTTCAACGGCGCACGGCCTCTCATCTCGGCGCCCGGCTGCGGGCTCTGAAGTTCAACGACCGCCACCGGTGCAGGCCCAGTGATTGGGAGTGCTGAAGTCGTAGAGATGAACCCACCTGAGTTGCGGCCAGTTGAATGAACCATTCCAGAATACAGAAGAATTCCAGGAGTTGTTCGCCGCAAGATTGAAAAGTGACATGAAATATGTCCAGGACTGATTATACAGTTATACAGCGAATAAAGCACATGAAGCGAAACAACGCAGCACAATGAATCTCTGAAAGGTGTCTTTTCTACACTCTGATCTTTCAGTGTATCATAAGGACTCCCTTGGAAAGCCAAACGTGGTAGATTCGTAGATGTCTTCAGCGCTGGTTAACAAGAATTATACAAGGCCGGTGGCATTTTGGGAGATTTCACCAAAATTGTCGATTTCATCATGAGTTCACAAAGATCCGCTGCGAACTGGTTCACCAGATTCTGATCCTGGCACAAACCCATACTGTTGATGGACAAAATCCTGCACCACCTCACCACTTTCCCCTGGAAGGGTCGCATAGCAACCCCCGCGCCCCCTCATTCAATGTTGGGGCGCCCTCTGAGGAGGTGGTGCAGGATTTTGGACCTTCAACTTGTTTTTGTTTTCTCACTGTGGTGGCCCCAATGTTAACGAGGGAGAACGAGGGCAGCAAGGAAAGTGTGCGCAAAGTGGTGCAGGATTTTGTCCATCAACAGTATCAACCTAGCCGCACATTCGCCGCCATCTTCATGCCACGAAGGACAGGCTTGGCTTCATGCATCGTCCTCTCATCCTGCACCTCGGTCAAGGCATTACATGGAGGCCCTGGAAATCAGTAGCGACCGCCTACAGTTGAGTGAGTTAAAAAGCACAATGGGCACTGTGAGCAATCAGAGCCGTTCGCAGTTCCAGAATTCCTCACAGGCAAGCCCGTGGCTGTTGGCCTTTATCTGCTAAATTATGATCAGGCGAAGTGTGCAGTGACAGTATCATCCTCCAAATGGAACAGGTCGCCACTTAAAGAACTGGTGGTCACCCAAACCCCACCCAGGTCACTTCACAAGCTCCTTTAAGACTTAAAGAACCAGTGGTCAGGTAAAACGCAAGCCTTGGAGCCTTTGGTGAAGTTGACTCAGCACCACACCCGCCAGATCGCTCTCCGGGCAACCCAACGGTGGGATTCTCCGAGAGAACGGAAGGCCAAAGAAGACCAGAGCCTTTGCCTCGGACCAAGCAGTGGTCGTTTTAAGTTCATTATATATACGGTATGCAAAAGGTTTGCCCGAGGCCGTTCTTGGATGGATGGCTCCGACCGTCGTTGGACAAACTGCCGAGCCAATATGACGATCTATCTTCAGCCATGGACGGATTTTGCCTCAAGCATGTGCAACAGCCGAGGGTATCCCTATTGTGGCACTGTGAAGACCTTCTCCCAACCTTCATATGGCTGTGAGTCAAACCCACCAAACCATGGTAGGTTGACATCCCTGATACAGGCATCGGTTCATTTTCAGGGGTCAACCAGGATGTCCGGATTTTGACCCACGCCCATATCATCCCTCTGTTGCCATGCTAGGCCAAAATCCGCTTGATCCGTGGCCTCCCTCAGGGCGGGGCGGTCAGGGCTTTTCTATGCCTTTCTTGGATCAAGGAGAGAGATTGCTAAGGCATGCTAAGGCCAACACAAAAATCCCCAATATCGAGCTACCATAATAATGTCTGTGAACCACTTGCCTTCACTTACTTGTATTGTCATAACAAAGCAGAAATATGATATTCTGTTGTGCTGTTGTGATCGCTCGACCAATTCGTTCACTTCGGAGGCTCAGGAGGACGTTCGCTTGCGGACGGTGTCTTCCCGTCTTCCGACGAAAGAAGTTCCATGCATGTTGGGTCTAGTTGGGCCGCCTCAACAAAAGACGGCCGAGAGTTCACTTCGTGCGTTTGACTTTGCGACCGGTCTTCGTCAACAAGAAGAAAGAAGAACGTAAGGATGATGACTTCACAAACTGAAGTAATTAGTACCATCTAATGGACCATAATCAAGTACTAATGGATGATGACTACAGTAATGGATGATGACTTCAACTACAGGAGATGTTTCAATTGGACCGTCTGATCCATTTTCCTACCTTGCTCGGCCCACCGAGCAAACCGCCGAGCCGCGTGGCTTCACGGAGAGGTTGAGCTGCGTGAAATGCCTCGGTCCGAGTCGACTCGGAGGAACCAAGCGAATTTCATGAAGAAATCCATGAAGATGAATTGGATGAATTGGATGAATCATCCCCAGATGTTATGAATTCACAAGGATCTTACTGAAAAAGGTGTGTATTTGTTGTTTTTTGCTGTGGTTTGACAATCCAAATGAAAGGGGTTTAGAATGGTTGATGAGTCTACATGACACCTGGTGAAGGCCTCAAAAATTCAAGCAAACTGGGTGTGTTGAAACAATCTTGGACACCGTCTTGAGACTCCGCTTCAAGAACCCTCATCTGCTAGAAAACCCTCCCTTCAAACGAGCTTAGCGCACACCTGGTGGAGGAAGCCCTCACTTTGCTTTGGGGGACAGTTCATTAAGCTGGAAAGCCAAGAGGATGGTAAAACACAAAAAGGATCCTCTCCATTGTTTGCCAGCTACAATTTCAGCTCAGACTCTGATATCCGCTCTACTTCCACTGCAATGTGTCATCTCAGCTACTCTGACAGGTTGATATGGCTACGTCACTGTACTTGCTTTCCTCTTCCTGCTGAGCGACGTCTCGCCACCTTCCTCCACATCCGAAAGATAGAGGAAGAAGGTGTAAATCCGGGGACCACAAGCGAAGTCATTGTCCTGCCGATCGATCAAGGTCCTTCGATCGTGAAGAAGGTCATTCTGCTGGGTCAAGTCAACGTGAAGGCAAGTCATGCGCAAGCATGATTTCGCCACCCCAGCATGCAGTTCAAGGGTTGTGAACCCCAAAATACAGGAAAGCCTCTCGTGTGGAGAGGCCCAAAACTCTGTTATGCCGCAATGCCTTAACCAGCCCCTGGCTTACAACGTCTCCTTTTCGTTGTTCATGTCATGGTGCTCTACGTAGCGCTCGCCAACGTGGTACTTCCTCAGAGCTCGCGCTGGCCCGCGCGACAGCGCTTCTCTCAGAGCTGGGAACTGTAGCTTGGAGGTGCTTTGCACCACTGGCCAGCAAGGATTTCTGCTTCAAGATCATTTGAACTAAGTGCAGTGCATGCTCAATGAGACCTGTGTACCTTCTGGCTAAGTCCGCCTCTTTTCTGAAGAGAGGTGACTTAGCTTGGGACTGCGCAAAAACAAATCATGAATCATTGTAATAGTTTCTGAAATAGACCTGCCATACTGCCTGCCATCATCTCTCTAGCTTCTCGCAGTGTTCAGTGATTTTGCTGCTGTGCATTGCGCATTGCAGCCGCGCACTCTCGCAGTGTTCAGTTCCCCTCAAACCCAAGCGATCCAAGTGACAGAAATTGCATGGACTCGAAGTTCTCACTTGGCACCTGGACAATCTCTGCGATTCCTCAGCCGCACCGAGGTCCGGTGGCACCACAGGGACGAAACAGGGACGAAACAGGGACCCGATCTTTCTACCGAGGCGGAGGAGGTCCAATTTCATCCAATGTCCATATCATCCTCAACGAAAAAAATGGAAACCCAAAAACACCTTGCACATCCTTGCACAGTATTGCATGCGGCCATTGGGCCCGCACACCCATGACGGACGGTTACGCGTGATGATTCCATCGTCGATGACCGAGGACGTCCGGCTTAGGTCGAAACAACCGAAGGGCGGAGGACATGAACTTGGAGACCCTCCTGCAAACGAACTGCAGGGCTTGGACCCCCAAAACCACCACGGGTCATATCGTCTTCAGTCTTCCACCACCGGGGTTTTCCTGGTCATCCGGTGGATCGGGGGATCCGTAGGGCCCCCGGTTCGGTCGGGGGGTGCTTGAGGTCCTTGGTTCCCAGCATCCGACAGTTACCAGCACCCTCCCCTCCAGGTCTTTAGTTGGATTCTCTAGGACGGTCTCAACTGACCAGTTGAGTCGGGCCTTGGTAAGTCATGATGCTGCGCTCAGCGTCGATTTATCACGGCGATGTAGCTGGGGAGCTCTTTGCAGGTATCTTGGCACCAAGCCGTCTGCGAGGTTCGCTTGGATGAAATAATTCCCTGCGATGTCTTTGGACAGGTCCGCAATATTATGAGACGCTCTCTCATGCTCTCTCCCACAAAAGTTTGCATAGTTTGTGTAGGAGGTGATGGTTAGTGTTGGCAACGGCAAACTTCACCGACGTAACTGGAAGCGATGGTGCCGGAACCATTTGGTGATGGCGCGCCTCTTGCATTCCAAAGGCATTGGCCTCGCCTTGATCTCTGGATTGATTGAAGACCTTCGTGGAAGCCAACAACTCAGCCATTTCCTCCTCTGAAATGATGTCATCAAAGGTGACGATCCTCAAACTGCGGATGGCGAAAAGTTTGGCATTGTTGGAAGGTGTTCTTGATTGCATCGTCAACTGCGGCTGTTTGGAACGATTGATGCTTGAGGATGTTTGGTGGTGATATGTCTTGCAGTGTCGCTACAAAAAGCCTTTGCTCCGTTCGTAGCGATGCCAGGAGCCCCGATCGTAGCTTCTTGTTCGTAAGAAGAAAGCACTTCTCATCTCAAGTGCCAAGGTGCCATGGCGACTGGCTCAAGACCCTCATGGCCGTGCTGTACTTCTTGCTGCGCTCGTTCATGTCTGCCGTGCTGCCGTGGCCAGTCTATAGGAAAACCAAAAAAGCAACGTTGAATCGAAAGGCAACCAGTTTCCACGGCTGATCACACCCAAAGATCCTTCTGCTTCAATTGAGAAGCGTGGCTTTTCGTGGGCTCACTAGCGGCTAGGTGACCGAAACTCGACCATAGCAAGTGGTAACCTTTGATGCCAGACGTTAAAAATGGATTCCTCTACAGGCACCACCTGTGTCCTCACCGCACATTCGTTGAGCACCGACACCAAAACCACTGCACGAGACCCGGTTTGCCGGACTGTCCCGGCCTCGAAAGACTTGCTCTAAATCCCCAGGCCTCAAAGCAGGCTCCTGGTTCATTTGCCTTGGTCAAACGGGAATCAGCTTCGAGGCACCAAAGCCCAAACAAGCCCAGCGTGGCTATGGCTCAAAAGATCTTACAACATCTTACAACCTGCTACTTCTTGGTTCTTCCATAGCCGTCTGTGAATGGTTGTGGTACATGAAAAATCATGGCGCATCCGAATCCGTGCGCGTGGCGAACACATGACAAACCGCAACAGAACGGGCAGTTCGCAAAACCCAAGCCACAGAAACCGCCGAGTACAGCGTGTCTCCTGCATGGGCTTTTTTGGATCAAGGATCTATCCATATCTGTCCATTGTCCATATCTATATGACATCACTGCATGTTTGATAGAGCCGGTGCCTCAGGATGACGGCATTCAGAAAGTTGAGTGCCGCGGAGACCCTACAGGTCAGTTTGACCTCATTTTACTGGAGTTGATCATACAAAACCTTACTTCAGAAAGTAAAAGACCAGGTTTTACTGGATCTTTGGACTTGTAGGGAGAGAGTGTCAAATTACATCAAACTACAGTATATATCCCAAATTGTAAGGGATACCCCCGCTTCCGTGAGTGAACCTCTCCTCTCTTCCAGGGAGTCCAGTTCGCTGAGGCACTTGGGAAACAACTTGTAACGTGGCAGAACTGCGAACTTGTTCTATGCTTAAAAGAGAAAGTCCTTTTGTGAGAAACACCCTGCCTCCTGCCGTAGATGACATGCATAGCAACTCCTGGAGCAGTAGACAGTCCTTGGCGTACACTCTTCCAGCAGCTTGGCCATGGCACTGAATGTGGCCCACAGTATCGCCACAGCAGCCAAAGTGCAACATCTGGAGTTTCATGATGCGTAGAGTTTCATTTTCGTGCCAAGCTGCATAAATCCGGGATTTAGGACACATTGCCCTTCAGGAGCCCAGTCATCGCAAGAGCCTTGCCAGGTCTCATGCGGAAGATCGACCTCATATATCTGCAAACCAGTATGTTACCGACTGCGGATCTGGAAACAGGACGCACAAAACGAGAAGTGTACAACTAGGTACACAAGACCACAGGCCGAAACGCCTGCGTGTTTGGCTCAAGAAAACAAAGACCGCTTTTCGTGAAGCATGGGTTATGAGCCCAAGCGGTCAGCGGTGCCATGACATCCATGTTGAGCCGGCGACGATCTGCATCCAAGGAAAGGCAGCAAACAGCCGATGAGAGGTTGGATGAGCTGCTGGCCAACCAAACGCCAGCCAGACGAACTCAGAGCGCGGAACCTAGTGCGCGGAGACCGGCCTTGGTGAAGAGCACACGCCAGGCACCAGCCGCAGGGACACCAGGAGGGGCAAGGACGGATCCCCGGACTACAGGTGCTGGAACGGACCAACTGCAGTTGGAACCATCACCTGGTACTATGTTGGCCGGGCTACTTCCACCTCTACCTGGAGGAGGTCTTCTTGGTGGCGGGACTATGGCGGCTGCGGAAGTGATGCAGGGTCAGCTTAGGGATCAACTGCCCGGTGGGTGGTCGATTCTACAGGGCCCGTATCCACAGGGTCATCCGGTGGTCTTCCATCCTGGGGGGGCTACGGATGCATCAGGACAGTTGCCCATCCTTCCGGGACGTCGTGAACGTGAGGGAGGAACGATGGCGGAAGAGGCTTCAACGTCAAGAGTGGAGCTATCTCATGGTGATCGAGAACGCCAACGTGGGGGACCTCAGCCTGATCAAGCTCTTCGTCCTTGCCGTGTTCCGGACCCCGTTCCTGAACAATATGAAGGTGAACTTGGAGGACAACATGGACGTGACGTGGTGACCGTGGGTGCTATGTCGAGGCAACAGTCGCCTATCAACCCTTGGTCAGCGGAAAAGATCAAGGAAACCATGAATCTCCCGCAAAGCCAAAGCCAAGAGGCGGGAGAAACCGTTGAACTTCTTCGCCAACGAGTTCTTCGTGATGCCGAACAGCGTTTTGCTGATGGTGTTCGACAGCTGCTGGGAGGAGGCAATCCGCCTTCCGATGCTTCGTTCAAGACGGCTGCGGAGAATGGAGGCGCAACACAAGGGGATGGGAAGCAGCAGGTGCTGGAAACCGGGGGACCACGGCAGCCTTCGGGGACTGGAACACAGGTGGCTTCATCCTCAACTATGACGACAAGTGGTGGTGTTCCTGTTCCTGGAGGCAATCTTCCTGGACCTGGACCCGTTCAAGGAACCGGACCTGGAGTATGTTTCCCTTGGCCATATCCCCCTGGAATTCAGCTTGGACCAGGTGGATGGGGTGCTATCGGGCTACCGCCCAATGGTGGTGGAGGTGGCGGAAACTATGGACCTGGCCTGGTTGGTGGTGCTCCTATGGGTGGGGGCAATGAGGAATCGGTCAATGAGACCTTTCGCAGTGTGGATTTACCTCCACTTCCTTCGGACGCCAATGCACTGTCCTTCGGTGATTGGTTAGCCACGATCCAGCCTTTGATCGCGGACGTGAGTGTGTCGGCGGAGGAATGGTGGGCTGTGACCTTGAAGGGTGTTGATGAGCTGTATACCCAATGGTTGGCTTCGGATCCTCTTCAACGTCTTCGGTTGGACACTGGCACTTCATCGGCGGCTACAAGGTGGCCTAGGACCGAAAGGAGGATGACCAGTTTGTTGTTGCAGGCGGCCCCCGACAACATCAAGGCGGAGGCTGTGGCTGCGAGGAAGCTGAGCGTGACCCATTTGTTGTTCACGCTGTTCGTCAAGTTTCAACCTGGCGGACAAGGTGAGAGGGTCACTCTCATCCGGTTTTTGACGGAGCTCAAAACTACGGGCTCTATGGTTGAATTGGCGCAGAACCTGCGTCAATGGCGGAGATGGTGGAATCGGGCTCAAGAGTTGGCGGTGATGTTGCCAGACCCTGTCATCTTGGCGGGTGTTTTGACTCGGGCTTCGGACGCCATTGCCAAGTCTGGTGCGCAAGCTGCATACCGGTTGTCGGTGTGCAGGCAACAGTTGCAAATTGATACAAGACCCAACTTGGACTCCATCAAAACCTTCGCGGAGCTGCTGCAGGCTGAGACCGAAGAGCAGGCGTTGGGCGCTGGAGGAATTGGGGGAGCGGGAAAAGCGACCGTTCCATTTGTGAAGGCAGCAGCTTTGGGGGCTTCATCAACGACGGCGACTTCGGCGACGGGGTGGAGTTCAAGGGCGACTGTCGCTTTTGGTTGTCGGACAAGGGCTGTCGAAGAGGGGATCGATGCAAGTTCAAGCATGGCACCCTCAGCCCAAAGGAAAATCGGTGCTTCTTCTGTTCCGGCCTCAACCACACTCGGCGCGATTGTCCGTATGTGAAGAAGGAGTTCGGGAAGGAGGAGAATGTGAAGGTGGCTAAGGTGCGGGGGGAGGATTCACAGCCTTCTTCGCCGGAAAGAGAGCCACTCAAGGTGAAGGTTGAAGAGGCCACTGGAGCTTCGGGGAAAAAGACTGAGGCGGAAGCCGGTTCCGGAGTTGCAGGGGGTCCCATGCCGAACAAGTCGGACTCCATCGACACTTTGATGGGGGAGGCATCGGCTTTGTTGAAGTCATTGCGGAGCGCCAAGGTCAAGGCCATCAAGCTCAAGTTCATGGACGGGGGTGGCAACTTGGACGCGGGCACCGCATTGGGGCTTTTGGATGGTGGTGCAACTCACCCCCTTCGTCAAGCTCTACCTGGTGAACTGGAAAAGGCTGAGAGGGTTCATGTGGAGTTGGCACATGGCTCAATCATGCTGCATCAAGACCCGGTGACGGGTACGTTGTTGTCGGCCGACGCGGTGGAGCCCATCGTGCCGGTTCGAGGGTTGATTGAGCTGGGCTACAAGATGGTGTGGTCCAGGAGTGGTTGTGCTGTGGAGCACCCCCGCAAGGGGAAGATCGTTTCCCGCCTTCGTGAAGGTTGTCCCGTGGTGCTGGAGGAGGACGCTCTGCTGCTCATCCGGGAGATCGAGGAGGTGGAGAGGAAAAAACATGATGATGTTTACCGGGAGGAGAACTTGGAGGAGGAGCTGCTGACGTGGTGGAGCCAACGCTTCCCCGAGGTTCCTGCCAGGATCTTCCGGCACATGACGGAGGAGCATGATTTTGGTGGTGGTGCTCTTCCATGGAATCGACGGCAGCGACGACGGCTGCTGGCGGCTAAACGTGTGGTGCTTCATCTCTTCGCGGGGGAAAAGGCCGACGAGTGGGAGGAGCTCAAAAAGTATGACTGCGAGGTCATCACCTTGGACATCATGCACAACAAGTCGCAGGACCTGCACAACCCGGTGTTGTGGGCTTTCTTGATGAGTTTGGCCAGGCAAGGAACCTTGGCAGCCATCATAGGTGGACCCCCATGCCGAACAGTGTCGAGGCTGCGATTTAGGCGACCAGGCCCAAGGCCACTTCGAGATCGAGGAGCACATCGCTTCGGGCTACCGAATCTCAGCGTTGCAGAGCAGCGTTTGGCGGACCACGACGCGGCCCTCGTCATCAAGCAGGTTGGACTCTATCTGGCCACGGAAGAAGCCAAGGTGGAGGTGGGTGCACCAAAAGGGACTACGGGCTTCCTGTTGGAGTCCCCAGCGGACCCGGCCAAGATGGTGGGGGATGGTGGACGAACGCCGTCTTTCTGGAGTTGGCCGGAAGTTTTGGGTTTGTTGGAGGAGGAGTCCATGGGGATGGTCACTCTAGATCAGGGTGCCGTGGGGCATTCCAAAAAGAAACCGACATCGCTGCTCACCAACATGCCGGGGATGATGGAACTACATGGACTTCGAGCACGAGGTGATGATGAACCCCTTCCTGATGACCTACAAGCCAGCATTCAGGCATCAAAGTCCTGGTCGTTGTGGGCTCCGGGATTGAGAGCTGCGATTAAGGAGTCCCTCCGATGCATGTTGGAGCAGGGTGCATCACAACAACGAAAGATAGCCAAGCTATCGCAAAGGGAAAAGGATATGTGGGCGACACACTTTCGCCAAGGACATCGACCCTTTCGCAGGGACTGCAGGCTGTGCATTGAGCAGGCAGGAACCC